CCCCCTTTTTTTTTGTGGAAGTGCTGAGGTTGGCTTGTAGAGTGTCCAGCTTGTGTATTAGGCCATGTTTTTCTAGTGTTGAGTAGTCTATCTTGTCGTGACTCGATATCATTGCTATGAGGCAACGCGTACAGTAACTGTACCTCATGTATAATATCTCTCTACACCTCCGTCTGTTAATCGTTCTTTTTTTTTTTTTCGTCCTTTTTGCAACCCACTTCAGTCGTATGTGGTGTAAGCAAATCAAGATCCGGTGGTTTCATTCTTCATATCTCTCGCAGGCAGCTACTCGGTCCATCAACGCCATTTTAAGCGAACTTAAAGCTAGTAAGGTAATACAATCTCAGAACTTTAGACTTTGATATTTTTGCCTTTGTCTATCCAAGTTTTATAAAGGCCCAATTTCGCATTTATGGGGTACATCGTGCTTCACACGGAAAGCAGGAGAAAGGGGAAAGCCTTTGTTGAGTCCCCTGTGTACATTTAAAAACACTGTGGCTTAGGGTCTCTAACTATCATTCTGTTCACCCAGCACTTATGAAGTGTGCTTGGGATGTTGTACTGAACAATTGGATTCGCTCTTTTACAGAAACTGCCAGAGTTTGAGTTACTCCCGGCAGAGTTAAACTGGTTGTTTTAGTGGACTTGTTAAGGTTGGAAGGAGAGGAGAATGAACGATTTTGATGATTTTCTCTTGCTGGAATGTCTCTTTATCTCTTTATTCTTCCCTTTAAAAATTGATCATGAGTTTTAACCTTACAGTCAGAACTAAATTACTCCGTCTGCATTTTCAACCTTTGATGAATCCCAAAGCAATTTAGAGACTTTTACAATGGCGTTGAGAACTGCCGCATACAGTTCTTCGTTTAGATGTTTTTGAGAAGTTCTGGTGAGCGTCATTCAGTGGGGATAGTGCATCTCTTTTTTCAATGTAATGTGAGGTTTATAGAATGTCCCAAGATATATGAACGTGCGTACGTATAGCTGCTGGCAGTCACTGATCTGAAGGGTCAGTTTATTATGTCTGTACGGCTGAAGATACCCGGTGAGTGGACTTTCACATCGTCCTATCCTGTATGTAGCCAGTTACTAATAGCTTGTTATGACCAGTAACGTTACAAGAGTGTTGCCCCCCCCCCC